ATTGGTGCGGAGCAGCTGAGCCTCGGCAGTAGAGATGGAAGATTGAATGGCTAGAGAGGCATCCTTCATGGTAGCAATGTGTGAAGTAAGAAAGGTTACTTGCTGACGAAGAACAACCAGTGTCGAAGCAGAATCAGTAGCAGAAGCAGTCGGTGTAGAGTCCAGGCCAAGCGTTGGAGGATCAGCTGGAGCAGGGGCAGGTGGAACTGAGAAGACAGTGGCCCGATCATCATAGTGCGATCTCTGGAAGATGCGAGAGTCCATAGAAGTCTTGTGTGTAACATGGCAGAGCTCTTCATTGGAATACAGTTGAAGTCCTTGTTGTTGCAGAATCCCGGTGATAAGACATGGAAAAGGGAGATGAATCTTGGCTTCCTTCTTCTTAGCAAAACTCATTATGTGATGATAGATGAGATGACCAAGATCAATAGGCAGTTGATGTCGAACTTTGTATAACAGAGAGGCCATCTTCTTATTGACAGTGTGCACAGAGACATTCGGGATCCAATTGCTAGAAGCTAGGCGAAAGAGAACCGAATAGACTGCAGTAAGTACATTCGAGGGCAGACCATCCTTTGGCCAGATGTTGATCTCGTTGTGGGTAAGATGTGAAGCAAAAAAGTCCCTAGCAGGCTCAAAAAGATCATCACACGCATCACGCTAAAAATAAGCATTAATAACAGAGGGACTAAAATCATACCAAACATCCCGGAGAAACACCTGATGATGATGCGGAGAGGCCGGTCGAAGAGAATCAGATGTGAGATTGGCGTAGAATTCTGGAATAAGCCAGGCAGAGTAGGCTCCCACATTCTGGATAGTCTGGAGAAGGTTTTGAGCCTTAAGAAGAGGAATAATATTGCACACGCGAATGAGGTACTCAATACTGAAATTCTTCTCAACCAAGATATCGCGATTTGAGTGCTGCTGCCATACTGTTTCCAATGCAGGGGAGAGCAAGATAGGTCTGAACAAGGTCTCCTTGGACACCTTAGCAGTCTTGGACTTGGATGATGCAGCTGCCTTCGAAACAGGAGCAGAGGCTAGAGCAGAAGCTGGAGGAGGAGCCGGAGTAGACACGCCAGTTTTTGATCGTGTATGCTGAGCAAGACCCGTAGGCCAATGTTCAGACCGTTTGCTAGGACGAGATTCAGAGACAAATTCAACATCATCGGACATGTGAAGCTTTCTCTTAGCCACTGGAGCTGCTGCAGGTGCTTCATCTGGATCAGTAATTTTGGCTTTCCCTTTGGCCTTCGTAAACGACACCCTGATAACTGGAACAGCCGTTTCAGCACGGGCAGTGTTTGGCATATTTGCAATGGTGTCTGAGATGATGGCTGCTTGAATGGATGGATCCTCAGGCTCAGAGACTGTCCCGAATCGAAACCTCAACATCCTCTGGAACAGATCCTGGAACAGAGACGGGATCATTTATAACTGGATCTGAGGCTGGAGCATTGACTGGATCATGCGAATGCTCAGCCTTTTTGGAAGTGGCCTTGTCCGTGTTTTGAGGTTGGGAACCTGTGAAGGGAATTGCAGACAGAGGCACAATAGACAAACCAGCAGAGAGATCCTAATTTCATAAGGCAATAGCACAGTCTCAAAACTAACATGCCATAAGTAATCAAAGCAAGAAGCAGTTTTAGGCATAAAAAACTCGACCATAGATAATCAAGGCTAAATAAGCAAATTAAAGCATAAAAATGCGATGCATGCCTAATTAACAAGCAATTAGATATTGCTCCCTAAGAGATTAGAGAAATCAAATCGTAGATTGAGCCCGCATTTGCCGAGCCCGAAGTTCTCCTTGAAGGACTTCCTCGTCTAAGATTTCATCAAGCGGCCATGGGTTATCCGTGATTCCTGATACTCTGGAAAAGATCTCCTTTGAGTCCTTCACAGACAACTCCTCCATCAGAGAAGGGTGTCGAAGAAGTGTTGCAAGAACCCGGCGAGCAGAGATGTCCGAGATCGGAGCTGTTCCCCGAAGAATTTGACGATAGAGATCTAGGTGCTCATCTTCCGTGAGGTAGAAAAGGAATGGATTAAGATCAAAATGGCTAGCCATATTTGAGGTAGGCAAAGACGATTTGATAGAAGAATTTGGCTAGGATTCGAAAATTCTATGGAAGGTGAGAGATGTTTTAAAGGAAGGTGAGAGAGATTTTAGGGATTTAATTCGATTAATTGGGGAAGAATACGGTGGTGTATAAAAACTAAGTGAGAGAAAGAATGAATAAAAAATTCTGATTATTTAGTGCGGTCGAAGAGGCTTATTTTCCGGTCTGGAGAGCGTACTGGAGCAGAGATCATATCTGGAGAATTTTCTGGAGTAAATCTGAAAAGGAAAGAAATAACAAAAAAAAAAACATTATTTGAGTCACAAAACAAACTTAGATTGAAAACCTGCACACCCCGAGATCAGCTCGAAGTAACTCAAATCTTGTGTTATCAAGAGGCTTTGTAAATAGATCCGCTAGTTTTTTCTCTGTTGAAATGTACTCCAGGTTGATTTCCTTGTCTTCTATCAATTCTCTTATGAAATGATGTCGTATTTCAATATGTTTAGTGCGGGAATGTTGAACTGGATTTTTGGAGATGTTGATCGCACTAGTGTTGTCACAATAGAGTGTCATGTACTCTTGATGTAGATCATAATCTTGAAGCATCTGTCTCATCCATAGGAGTTGAGTACAGCAGCCACCAGCTGCGATGTATTCAGCTTCAGCTGTGCTGAGAGATATTGAGTTTTGCTTCTTACTTAGCCAGGCAACTAAGTTCTTTCCCAAAAAGAAACACCCACCAGATGTACTTTTGCGGTCATCTACGTTTCCGGCCCAGTCGGCATCACTGTATCCTACAAGATTCAGATTAGTATCATTCGAAAACCAAATACCATAATTGAGAGTACCTTTGACATATTTTATTATTCTTTTCACGGCTTTAAGATGTGATTCTTTAGGAGCCGCTTGAAACCTGGCACATATTCCAACACTGAGCATAATTTCTGGACGGCTGGCTGTTAGATACAGTAGACTTCCGATCATGCTCCTATATACAGTAGGATCAATTGGCTTCCCTGATTCATCTTTGCTTAATTTTGTAGTTGTAGATATTGGCGTTCTTGCTTCTTTGGCTGACTCAAGTCCAAATTTTGTTAGCAGGCCTTTTGCATATTTTTCTTGAGATATAAAAATACCTTCATTGGTTTGTTGGATTTTTAGTCCTAGAAAATAGGTTAGCTCGCCGATCATACTCATTTCAAATTCCTGTTGCATGACTTGAACCAGCTGATCTGTAGCACCTGTTTGAGTGGAACCAAAGATAATATCGTCAACATAAACCTGAGCAATTGTAATATGCTTACCTGACCTTTTGATAAATAAGGTTTTGTCAACTCCCCCTCGGTTGTAGCCGTGCTGGAAAAGATACTGGGATAGTCTTTCATACCAGGCTCTCGGAGCTTGTTTTAGACCATATAGAGCCTTGTCCAGTTTGTAGACATAGTCAGGATGATGAGGATCTTCAAACCCTTTAGGTTGAGCAACATATATATCTTCGGACAGATATCCATTTAGAAAAGCCATTTTGACATCCATCTGGAACAGTTTTATCCCTAGAGCACACGCTATACATAGAAGAAGGCGAATAGATTCTAGACGTGCTACTGGTGCAAATGTCTCTTCAGAATCGATACCTTCAATTTGAGAGTAGCCTTGTGCAACTAGTCTTGCTTTGTTGCGAGCAATGTTTCCTGCTGAATCGGTCTTGTTGCGAAAGATCCATTTTGTTCCTACAACATTTACACCGTCAGGTTTAGGGACTAGATTCCATACCTTGTTACGTTCAAATTGTCCGAGTTCTTCCTGCATGGCTTTAATCCAGTGTTCATAAGATAGGGCTTCTTTTACCGTCTTGGGTTCGATCTTTGATGTGTAACACGTATACCCTGCAAGCTCGAGGTAATTTCGTTTAATCCCTCTAGTCCTTACTCCAGAGGACGGATCTCCTATGATATTCTGAGTAGGGTGATCTTTGTGAAGGTGGATAGCCCCTTCGAGTGCTCCAGCATCTGGGTCTGGACTAGGTTCTGGGCTAGTATCTGGAAGAGATTGAGTAGAATCTGATGATGTAGTTTCAAGGGGTTCTGGATTATCTGTGGTAGGTTCTGGAGTATCTTCTGGGTTAGAGACACTTATAACCTCAGTTATTTCCTCAGGTTGATCATCAACCACCACGTTTGCCGATTCCATGATGGATTTTGTTACTTTGTTATAGACACGGTAGGCACGACTATTCGTTGAATATCCAAGAAAGTACCCTTCATCACTTTTAGGCTCGAATATTCTAGTTGGGTTTCGATCCTTCAAGATAAAACACCATGAGCCGAAAATGTGAAAGTAATTAATATTAGGCTTCTTACCTTTCGATATTTCATATGGAGTATGATGCATTCCGGGTCGTAGATATACTCGGTTTATCGTGTGACAAGCAGTACCTACTGCATCAGCCCAAAATCTCTGAGGTAAGTGTTTTGCCTTGAGTAGAACCCGAGCCATCTCTTGAATCGTCCGATTCTTTCTTTCAACCACGCCATTTTGTTGTGGTGTTTTAGGTGCTGAATACTCATGGAAAATACCGACTGATGCACACCAATCATCAAATACTTGATTGTCGAATTCACGTCCATGATCACTTCTAATGCATATGATTGGTTCATCTTTCTCTTTTTGGAGTTTTAGGGCCAGAGCTTTGAAGGCTTTGAAAGTTTCTGACTTTTCCCTGAGAAAACTGACCCACGAAAACCTAGAAAAATCGTCAACACAAACTAAAATGTACCTTTTACCTCCAATGCTTTCTGTTCTGGTAGGTCCAATGAGGTCCATGTGAATGAGTTCCAGGCAGTGTGTGGTATTGATCATATTTTGAGAGGTATGCGCTGCTCTAGTTTGTTTTCCAGCTTGACAGGCGCTGCATACTCCAGTTTTTTCTACCTAGATATTAGGTAGACCTCGAACACCCTCAATCTTGATCAATTTTTCAAGTGAGCGATAATTCAAGTGACCTAACTTTTGATGCCACAGTTTTGATTCTTTTATGTTGGACCTATAACAATAAGAATCGTTAATAAGTATATAACAATTATCAGAAGAGCGTTTACCTTCCATGACACAGTTCTTTCTGTAGTCTGTAACGTTGCAGCTGTCTTTTGTAAAGCACACTTTCCATTCTTGATCGCATAATTGGCTGATACTAATCAGATTTGCATGCAGACCTTCCACCAATAGAACTTGTGGGAGTTTGGGTAGACCTGTGACATTTAGAGTGCCAGTTCCAGTGATCTTTCCCTTAACACTGTCACCAAAAGTTACTTCTCCTGTACTTCCCTTTATGTTGTTTAGGTACTTAGCATCACCCGTCATATGCCGCGAGCATCCACTGTCAAAGTACCATCTCTCTTTTCTGTTAGTACTCGTAGAGTGGAAAGAGACACGACATACAAAGTCACTTTTCTTCACCCAAATTTGCTTGACAAACGGGGTGATAGATTTGTTTGTGTATTTCTCACAACGTTGGTCTTTGTAGAAGAAGAAGCACTCCGGTTTTGTATGTCCACGTACCCTGCAGTAATGACATATAGGATTATACACTCTGACCTTGATTGATGTTTTCTTTGGAGCAAAGTTAACTTGACGCCGAGCTGTACTAGTTTCTGGTCGATCTTGATCTGCTCCAGAGACTGAGTCAGAGCCTGAGGCTTTGACGAAAATTGTAGTAGCTTTGTCCTTTCCTCCAGAGTAGCCTAACCCATATTTTGTAGATGTCTTTCGACCAGAATCTAAAATTTGGTCTAAGGTGGATGTGTTGTCCATCATTTTTATCTTGCGTTTGAGTTGCTCCAGTTCCTTTTTGAGATCTTCTAGCTCATGTTTGAGATTTTCTTCTTTCTTGTGACTGTCTTCAATGATGCTGTCCCTGTCAGATATTTTAGATAGATACACTTTTTTGGCATTTTCTAGAATGCTAACCTGACTAGACAGAGACCTATTGACTTTTACAAGAATTTCCCATTTAGCATACAATTTTATATATTCTACTTCAAATGAAGGTGCAGGTAAATCTTGATCTTCTGATGACACATACTCTTCAATTTCTGATTCTTCGCCAGTTGCAGAAGCAGATACAGTAGTTGTAAGAGCTGTAAAGGTAACAAAGTTTCCGGAGATCTCATCTGGATCAGAACCTGGATCAGTTTCTGGTTCATCATCATCACTCCAGGTAAGGGCAACTTTCATTGACTTCTTCCTTCTCAAATAGGTTGGACATTCAGCCTGCACATGGCCATACCCTTCACATTCATAACATTTGATCCCTTTGCCTCCGGTTTTGTCTTTAGATTGAGAGTTTCGAGAAGCACCCGGTCGTTGGCTGGATGAGTTTGATCTTTGATTGTTTCGATTTGCACTTGATCCTGATCCTTTTTGACCTTGAAACTTGCCAGGCTTTCCAGTTTGTCTTTGTTTTACCTGTTGCAACAATTTAGGAAAACCTTTAGTTAAAAAGACTACTGGATCATCACTTACCTCATCTGGATCAGAAACAGCTCCAGCGGCTTCTACAGTGAATGCTACGGTTTTTCCTTTTGTTTCAGGTCCGCCCAAGATTTCCATCTCATAAGTTTGTAGGCTTCCCATCAATTGTTGTACCGTTTTCTTTTCCCATCCATCGTGCTCCTGAATGGCTGTAACTTTCATTCGAAACCTTGGAGGGAGTGAGCGAAGAATCTTTTTGACGAGTCGTTCTTGAGTGATTGGTTCACCTAGAATGCTTGCCCTATTGGCTAGTTCTTGTACCCGAGCATGAAAGTCCACTATGGTTTCATCATCTTTCATCTTTAGATCTTCAAAGTAGGTTTGAACCATTTGGAGTTTGGATTGTTTAACTGATGCAGTTCCTTCATAAGTAGTTTCAAGGGCATCCCAAGCTTCTTTGGCCGAATCACATCCTGCAACAATGGTAAATTGACTCTCATGCATTAAAGAAAATATAGTATCTAACGCTTTATGATTGAAGCTTGCAGTAGTCATCTCAGTCTCTGTCCATTTCACTTCCGGTTTGAGGACTGGAGGATCTCCTGTATTGTCTCCATCTTTGGTGGGATGAGACCAACCAGTGAGAACAGCCCTCCAGACCCTCTCCCCTTGAGCTCGTAGATGCATTTTGGTGCGGGCCTTCCAGTACGCATAGTTGTCACCTGTTAGCTCAGGAGGTGCTCTTTGTCGTTCCATTCTATAAGACTCAATGCACAGTGAGCAACAAGTAAACCAGATAAACAAAATAAGAGACAGATGCTGAGATCTTGAGTTCAAAAAACACGTGATAGCTAGATCGGTTAGACTAGTAATTTAAGTCCCCGGGCTCTGATACCAATTGAAAAAGCACGTGAATCTTTGAATGCAAGATAAAGCCTTTATAATATTTAATTTATTTCAATTACAACGCTGGAATAGATGAAAACATATTCCAGATATAATAAAGAACATGAAATAAATAGCAGTAAAAGAAAGCATGCACCAGGATATGTTCACGTAGTTCGGAGCCTCACTCCTACGTATGCGGGGCCACTCACATCAACCCAAATCCACTATGATGAAAAACGGAGTACAAAAGGGTAGTTAATTACACTCTACAGTATAACCTATAACTACTCCAGAACCTACTCCAGTGGATCCGATTTGCAGGCGTTCTTCATTGCTTCATGATCTGATTGCAAGATCTTCTTCACACACAACAATACAGGATATATTTGGTATAGATGCACCAAGATTTTCAGTTTAAGACTTTGTGAAAGAGTGCGCAATTTGAATGCTAGTTAAGGTAGCATTATATATAGGTTGTAAATTATGTTTTGATCCTCAAAGTATGCACTCTTCCATTCCTTGAATTCGGCTGCTCCAATAGATCTAGATCTCCCCATTGATAGGGTCTTGAATAAATTCTTTGAACAAGATTTATACCTCCTAGATAACTTCCTTGCACTGATCCAGTCAACTACTCCAGACGACGTGACTAACCCAGCAACTAATCCAGGACTACTTTGACAACTAATCTAAGCCAATAACACAGAGGTTTAAATGTGCAATATATTTACACTTACAAGTAACAAATAATTCAAATAGGCCTCTCAATTAATTAGTTAATTTTTGTTGTTTATTAGTTATTACCCTAATTGCTCTATATCATTTCTCAAATCTCATTTCTCTTGATCACTCGCTCGTTATTAATTGTATATATAACTCTCATATTTCTCTCAATTGGATAGTCTCATCTCTCAACTCTCTTTCCTCGAAATGGAAAGTATTGTACTCACATTGTCTTATTTTAAGTATCATACTTATTATTTATTGGTTAAATCAACATTTTTTATTAGATTATTTTCTTTTTGTATTTCAAAATAAATTTTTTTTTTTCTGTTTAACATAACTTTTAATATTATTGTTTCTAAATATGTTGATTTTATATACTAAAACTAAATTTAATATTATGAACAATTGATTTGTAAATAACTTCTGTCAATCCTCGTTAACCGACTAGACATATGAAATGAGACAAATGAATTGAAGTATCTTTACTTTCCTTAGAGCTAGATGTTCTCGAATGAGAAAGTAGGTGATGTCTTCAATTAGTGTAGGTGCTTAAAAATTTTTCTAGCAATCTCTGGAAGTGGAGTTGTTGCGCGGCAGGATAAGAAATCTGATTAGGCTGTGTGAGGCAGTTGAAATTGTTGGCGCAAAGGAGAAAGAAAAAGGCATATATACCTAAAGAGGAGATGAAAGATCTCTTGTACAAGGTGTAAAAGGATTAAAAATTTGAATGAGGAGATCCAGGCACACAATCGCGGGGAGAGTGTAAAGGAGGTTTTCAACAATACAATGTTGCGACTGCTGATTGGTGAAAACCCTTCTTTTGTAGTGCATCGCAGCTGCTTGATTGTATGTAATTCATTAGTGGCTAATTTGTTGGGAATTTTAAATACACAAGTTTTTCTTTCCTCTTCTAGAATTTCCTTTAAATATATATTGAATCTTGATCGGGTTGAGCGGACTCATCCCGTGCGATGATCGTGCTGCTGTCTCATGATGCACTCCACCCGTGCAGCCGTCTTATCGCCGATTCTCTAATCCTTCATCACAGATTCTCTCCTTCTTCGATCTTCCACCGTCGGCTCTCTAATGCTTCGATCTTCCATCGTCGGCTCTCTAATGCTTCAATCTTCCTTTTCAACTCTTCGTTTCTTTGATCCACCATCATTGACTCAACACTACTTAAATTTTTCATCGCCCACTCTCTACTACTTTTGTGTTTTGAGCCCACTTTTACTACCAGTTTGAGCCTTTTACCCCTACACCAAGGTAATTTAAATTTGTTTGTACTTTGTGTGTTTGTAATAATATAGAAAATAAATATATTGAAAGTGTAGAATGAGTAAAAAATAATTCAAATAGGCCTCTCAATTAATTAGTTAATTTTTTTTGTTTATTACCCTAATTGCTCTATATCATTTCTCAAAGAGTTAATTCCAACAATGGTCCTCCGACTATTGCGATTTTTCAAAATTGGTCCTCGTCGTTTAAGTATCAGTTTGGTTGGCGTTAAATAGAGGGGTATTACCTTTTCTTCATCAGTTTGGTTTCCGTCGTCTTTTAATTCTCACCAGACAGTATCTCTCTCTCAATTTACCTTACACATTCTTCTTCCTCTTCTCTTTCTGCATTAAGCAAATGTTGTTTCTGTAGATCATTATAGAGAGAGAGAGAGAGAGAGAGAGAGAGAGAGAGAGAGATAGAGAGAGAGAGGGGATGGTATTAGAGATTCTTGGAAAATTCAGATGATAAGAATTGAATATGAATAATTGTGTGGTTGTTTTTGTTTTGATTGTTGGATTAGTATCGTTTCGGTGTGTTGGGATTAGGAGTTTTGCAGAGATTAATGAGGGAGAGAACGGTGGAGGGTTTGGGTTTTCTGAGGTGTCGGAGTAGCGGAACGGCGTGGGCTGTCCGACGATTAGCTAAGGTGTACTAAGGACTGAAACGTCGTCGTCCAGCGGCCCTTCTCTATTTCACTTAACCATGACTCTTGACTCGGAGTATCTCTGGGGGTCATTTGCGGCGGTGCACTCTGTGATTGTAGTATATTTACAAACAAATAATACTCGGAGTATCGGGTAATCGATTCGCAGGGAAGTGGTTGTCTTAAGCACTAGTTACTAATTAATTTATTCATTAAAGCTAATCCTAACGATAGACTTGGAGGGTTGCATTAAATAAATAAAATAAAGCATTGATTGAGGGTTTTGAAAACAAAATAGAGAGATTGTGATTCTTCGGATTCAAGTATTTAATCCCCTAGTGCCTAACCTAATGTAATATTAAATCTGGGTTCATACAAGTGTGAGAATGCAAGGTGGTATAGAGCTACTGTCGTAGTCACTAACATGGGTGAATTTCCACTCTCGTGGCTTAAACACCCATTAAAACAAGATCAAGCATCATAACTTCCTAACTACTACCATCTCTCGATGTGCAATAATCAAGAATTAATCTCCCTAACAAAATTACCCTTTCTCAAGGTGCAACAGTTAGGTGCAATTGTGTGTGCCCTAAGTTATGCCCAACTGTCGTTGTGACACAAACAAAGCAAACGAAACAAGTAACTATGGTCACTAATTACAAGCATCAAAGAATATAATCACAATTGCAACACAAGTATTAAACCCAAATAATAATATATTAAAGAATCTGAGAGCTCAGGCCCATAGGTTCATAAACACTTTTACCCGAAAATCTCTAATGGAATTTAGCCCTGTATGGCGAAATTATACATAGCAAATAATAATAAACATGAATTATCGAAAGAGTACAAGAATGAACCAGACGATTTTCTTAAATCTCCATTGTCTTCTTCTTGCTTTCCAAGATAACTTGTGGCTCTTGATTTCTCTCCTTCTTGTCTGCTTCTTCACTCTTCACCACATTGACCATAGCTTCAGAGTCTGTCTCGGTAATGATTCTTAAAGCAAGACAGAGCCCATCCCTAAATCCCTAAAGTTCCGCCATGAAACTGCTAGTTATCACAATCTTTGTGATGAAACCCACGACCCACGAGCCGTTGTGAATGTTGTTATAATTGAAATTGAGAAGGGTTTTTTTATTTCAAAAAAAAAAAATCTCACGAACCAAACCACTATCCCTGACCATGCTCCTGTTGGCTTTGCGTGCCGTGTCCGTGTTGAGTTTAAAGTAGCCGGGTGTAGGTGGAAGCCAATTAATCCATCTTTGTTTAGTGATCATGCTGTCAGGGTGTTTACCAAGGAAGGAGAGAGCTTCCGAGGCGTGAGCTGTGGACCGTTACCAACAGTCAACCGCTCGATCACATCTCCTAAATGCATGGTCCAGAGTTTCTTCTTCTTCGTCACACCAGGAGTACCCTACATCCTCGGTCAACCCTCGTTTGTTAGTGTTGCAGCTTGAATGTTATAATTATTGTATTAGTAGATAAACCAAGTATGTATGAAGTAGTTAGCGGATGATTTGAGCAAAACTAGTAGATTAGGAAAATTATTTTAATGTTTATGGCTATTGTAATTCATTAGTGGCTAATTTGTATGGAATTTGTTCATCTATTGAAATAGCTGGTGTAGTATGGTACACTCCCACACTTCGTTGTTAATTGTCTTGATTATGACTTAATGAATTAGCTCTTGTTTTTCAAAAAAATCTCTACTTTTTTAGGATCTCTCACTTTTACAAACAAAATTAAACAAGACTAATATATGAGTTTTAACACATAACTTAAACCAAATGTTCCTTAATCTATTATCCCAATTAACTTATTTAAAGTAGGTCATGTCATATTAATTAACATACATTCATGTTGTGTTGAGACATATGTATCGCAAAATATCTCTTTGACATGAACATAACATGTTTAACAAAGATGTTACAATCCATAAACTTATACAAAAACAAGTTATTAAACAATGTTATATATGTTATAACATGCATATATCAATTTAACCTAAAAGGTTAAAAAATCTATTATAACATGTTAAATAGATGTTGAACTAGGTAAATTTTATTTTTGGAATTCAAAAGAAGTATATCTAATCACATAACTTACTACAGTTAGTCCGAAGAACCGAGCAAGATTCGTGGATCAATTAATAAATGTGGCTAAATTTTTAGAAGTGACTGAATTCATGTTTTGCCAATGCAAACCATGAAACTTA